GTCGATTCCTACGGACGAACTCCTTGATGTGTTAGGTCGTTACGATTGTAAAACTCTGGCGAAAGAAGATAATATTAAACAAATCATTGACGAACTAGCCCACCAAGAAATTCTTCAGAAGTCTGCTTTCATATCTGATTGCTTTAATAAAGTCCTAGTAAATTTGGTAGATGTCAACGAATTTAATGAAATTTATAGAACTAGCAATCCAACATCTAGAAACATACTAGCAGCTTTGTTATATGATGACAACTTGTCCGAGGAAGCAGAAAAAGTATCTGCTATGTTAAAGAGATATATACGTGAGGCTCCTGAGAATATTCGTATGGCTTTTCTAAGGTTTGCAACGGGGACTGACATCCTTTTGGGTAATAAAATAAAAATTATATTTTCCAAATCTGATGGTTTCAGCCGTCGACCGATTGCCCATACATGCACAAATACTTTAGAAGTTCCCGATTGTTATGATAATTTCATGGAGTTTCGTTCAGAATTCAATTGTATATTAACCTCTAACATCTGGATAATGGATATTTTTTAATTTTTACATATTTTATTTTATAATTTTACCATAATAAGAATGATTGTTTCGTTTTATTACTAAATAAAAAATACGTTCGGCATTATTTGAAAATAAACTGGATAAATTAACTGTAGGTATCTGTAACTCTGCGAGATTGGTTTATTCAAGGTTCAGATTATTGGGAATAATAGCAAAAAATTAGATTAACGATTTAACGGTTATACCTATTGTACGACTGAGTTTACATCACAGAACAGGAAATGTTTAATTCAAATAACTTCGAAATCTGTAACCTGCTTGAATTCCTCCAAAGGATATACATACCTTAGGTACCTACTTACATATGTACGCAGTAGTTTTTTTTTAACCAACTGGCAGTTCCTTTGGAGTTCGTATCTCGACGGCGATTGTACTCTTACAACGGACAATCTTACACATATACAGTCTATCTCAGGAAAGAATGCCGGCCACAGAACACTTGATGCCGATCTAAAATCGATGGTTTAATATGAAAAACATGGCAAATTACTTCCGTAGTAATAATACTTTGATTAGAATATATTTTCTAATCAGTATTATTATTAGGGAAGTAATTTGCCATGTTTTTCATATTAAACCATACGATTATAGATCGGCATCAAGTGTTCTGTGACCGGCATTCCTTCCTGAGATAGACTGTACGTATTTTTCATCTTTATTAACCTGCTTAATTTTTTTTGCAAATGGATCTACTTATTTATTGTGCGGTTTTACAACACTATAATAAACATGATAGTTTGTTCCGTAAGTATAAGTACACATCAATCGCATTATACGGATCGGATGGAATATTTTCTACTGCAGCTTCATTAAGTAGAATATTACAAAGTTCAAAAACATCCTTATCACAGGGACATTCTTGATCAAGAAATACGCATTCTTCACGAGCAATTTCCAAGTCGTCAAATTCAACGGAGATCAAATAATCATTACTTCGATATATTTCAGGACTATGGTACATAATTAATGGTTTTCCTCTTGGCAATATGCTGTTCTTCGATGAAGATATATTATGCGAGTTCCATTCCAAAACCACGCTGTTCATCTCTGACTACACAAAAAAATTTTAATGTGATAAATAACAAAATAACTAAGTTCAAAGCGTACCTGGATTATTCGAAGGAAGCAAAATTGGATTAGTGCTTTTTCCAAGTAAGAACCATTAAAATAGCCATCGTCTTGAATCTTTTTAAATAAATTCATCCAAAACTCCGCGTTGTGCTTTCTTAATATTCCCCACCAGCACTCAATTTTTTGATTGGCTGTACTTTTACCATAAAGAAACGCTGGTCTGTGGATATTAATACCCGTATCTCTTCGAAAAAATACCTGCATTTGTTCGATGTGGCGGTTTTCCGTACCCATATCGGCCCTGATGGTCAATGGTATGCCTCCAATCTTTTGTATAGTGTCAACAAAATAACCACCGATAACACGGGGATTGTTATTAGTTCTCCCAGCCTTCATCCACATAATATGGCGCGAAAATCCATCTATACACCCATTAATTCCAATACCAAACGGCTTTAACTTGTCATAAGAGTCTACATGCCATAAGTAATTTGGTCCTTTGTTATTGTATTGTCTTCTTCGAAGTCTTCTCCTTGTTCTTATTTCAACACCCACGGGATCAATGGATTTCAAAAGTCGCCGAATAGTTTCCTGCCGAACTACAAAACCTTCTTGAATGCATTTGAGGTGCATCCAACGATATCCATGAAGCTGCCCTGATTTGGATACCTGTGTCCTTAAATAAGTATGTAGCCACTTGGTTTATTGGAGAATATCCTTTCTTTCGAAAAAGTTTTAAATTTTTCAATCTTCTTTTTAAAGTCCGAAGGCTAATATTACAATTATGTTGTACTTTAAGGAAAGCTAAAATTTCATCGTTGGACAACCCGAGAGTAAAATAAAATGTGATCAATTGCGTTTCACTCATTTTTGCAATGCATGCAATACGCGACAAACGTACAACATAGACTAAGGCTTAAGGCAAGCTAATCGACAGTAGGTATCAATTGTAATATTATGAGTTTATAAGTCGCAATTGCGAGATAGTAAGTAGCAATTGCGAGATAGTAAGTCGCAATTGCGAGATAGTAAGTCGCAATTGCGAGATAGTAAGTCGCAATTGCGAGATAGTAAGTCGCAATTGCGAAGTTCGCAATTGCAAGTTACGCAATTGCGATATAGTAAATCGCAATTGCAAGTAAAAATGGAGAGTATGTGGCCCTTCTACGCTTTCGTATGTACGTTTGTCGCGTATTGCATGCATTGCAAAAATGAGTGAAACGCAATTGATCACATTTTATTTTACTCTCGGGTTGTCCAACGATGAAATTTTAGCTTTCCTTAAAGTACAACATAATTGTAATATTAGCCTTCGGACTTTAAAAAGAAGATTGAAAAATTTAAAACTTTTTCGAAAGAAAGGATATTCTCCAATAAACCAAGTGGCTACATACTTATTTAAGGACACAGGTATCCAAATCAGGGCAGCTTCATGGATATCGTTGGATGCACCTCAAATGCATTCAAGAAGGTTTTGTAGTTCGGCAGGAAACTATTCGGCGACTTTTGAAATCCATTGATCCCGTGGGTGTTGAAATAAGAACAAGGAGAAGACTTCGAAGAAGACAATACAATAACAAAGGACCAAATTACTTATGGCATGTAGACTCTTATGACAAGTTAAAGCCGTTTGGTATTGGAATTAATGGGTGTATAGATGGATTTTCGCGCCATATTATGTGGATGAAGGCTGGGAGAACTAATAACAATCCCCGTGTTATCGGTGGTTATTTTGTTGACACTATACAAAAGATTGGAGGCATACCATTGACCATCAGGGCCGATATGGGTACGGAAAACCGCCACATCGAACAAATGCAGGTATTTTTTCGAAGAGATACGGGTATTAATATCCACAGACCAGCGTTTCTTTATGGTAAAAGTACAGCCAATCAAAAAATTGAGTGCTGGTGGGGAATATTAAGAAAGCACAACGCGGAGTTTTGGATGAATTTATTTAAAAAGATTCAAGACGATGGCTATTTTAATGGTTCTTACTTGGAAAAAGCACTAATCCAATTTTGCTTCCTTCGAATAATCCAGGTACGCTTTGAACTTAGTTATTTTGTTATTTATCACATTAAAATTTTTTTGTGTAGTCAGAGCTGAACAGCGTGGTTTTGGAATGGAACTCGCATAATATATCTTCATCGAAGAACAGCATATTGCCAAGAGGAAAACCATTAATTATGTACCATATTCCTGAAATATATCGAAGTAATGATTATTTGATCTCCGTTGAATTTGACGACTTGGAAATTGCTCGTGAAGAATGCGTATTTCTTGATCAAGAATGTCCCTGTGATAAGGATGTTTTTGAACTTTGTAATATTCTACTTAATGAAGCTGCAGTAGAAAATATTCCATCCGATCCGTATAATGCGATTGATGTGTACTTATACTTACGGAACAAACTATCATGTTTATTATAGTGTTGTAAAACCGCACAATAAATAAGTAGATCCATTTGCAAAAAAAATTAAGCAGGTTAATAAAGATGAAAAATACGTACAGTCTATCTCAGGAAGGAATGCCGGTCACAGAACACTTGATGCCGATCTATAATCGTATGGTTTAATATGAAAAACATGGCAAATTACTTCCCTAATAATAATACTGATTAGAAAATATATTCTAATCAAAGTATTATTACTACGGAAGTAATTTGCCATGTTTTTCATATTAAACCATCGATTTTAGATCGGCATCAAGTGTTCTGTGGCCGGCATTCTTTCCTGAGATAGACTGTATATGTGTAAGATTGTCCGTTGTAAGTGTACAATCGCCGTCGAGATACGAACTCCAAAGGAACTGCCAGTTGGTTAAAAAAAAACTACTGCGTACATATGTAAGTAGGTACCTAAGGTATGTATATCCTTTGGAGGAATTCAAGCAGGTTACAGATTTCGAAGTTATTTGAATTAAACATTTCCTGTTCTGTGATGTAAACTCAGTCGTACAATAGGTATAACCGTTAAATCGTTAATCTAATTTTTTGCTATTATTCCCAATAATCTGAACCTTGAATAAACCAATCTCGCAGAGTTACAGATACCTACAGTTAATTTATCCAGTTTATTTTCAAATAATGCCGAACGTATTTTTTATTTAGTAATAAAACGAAACAATCATTCTTATTATGGTAAAATTATAAAATAAAATATGTAAAAATTAAAAAATATCCATTATCCAGATGTTAGAGGTTAATATACAATTGAATTCTGAACGAAACTCCATGAAATTATCATAACAATCGGGAACTTCTAAAGTATTTGTGCATGTATGGGCAATCGGTCGACGGCTGAAACCATCAGATTTGGAAAATATAATTTTTATTTTATTACCCAAAAGGATGTCAGTCCCCGTTGCAAACCTTAGAAAAGCCATACGAATATTCTCAGGAGCCTCACGTATATATCTCTTTAACATAGCAGATACTTTTTCTGCTTCCTCGGACAAGTTGTCATCATATAACAAAGCTGCTAGTATGTTTCTAGATGTTGGATTGCTAGTTCTATAAATTTCATTAAATTCGTTGACATCTACCAAATTTACTAGGACTTTATTAAAGCAATCAGATATGAAAGCAGACTTCTGAAGAATTTCTTGGTGGGCTAGTTCGTCAATGATTTGTTTAATATTATCTTCTTTCGCCAGAGTTTTACAATCGTAACGACCTAACACATCAAGGAGTTCGTCCGTAGGAATCGACTCAAAATGGCCAATTGCCTCACGGAATACTGTTTTGTCGTCTTCGCTAATGTAACCAAAAAAATCGGTAGTTACGTCTCCAGAACATTGTTTGAAAATTGTGTATTCCATGAAACATTTCGATAATCTGATGGGAAAATACTTGTCAGTAATCCAACCTTGTTTTAATACTTCCGCGATTGCTGACCATTTTTCTACTCCAAAATCGTGTCTTAGTTGGGGAACTTTAATGTTTGTACCGATTGTGCATTTTTCATACATGGAATTCCAAAACTCGCTAAGTGCATCCCTCCATACCCCACCCAAATCTTCGGCACACTCCAATTCACCATTGGGGAGCATGAGAGTTACATGTATTTTACTACCGACCATTCTTCTCTCCAGAAATATATTTATTAGCTCTTCAAATACCCGTCCTCTATGAAGACAAATCGAGATATCGGCTGTTGGACTCACAGGAGTAACAGGTGTATTCTCAGTATTCTGTTCCAATGACAAAATGAAACCGTCGTTCTCTTCGTTTTGTATTTGTGTTGCTAACAACCTGTCGTTTGCAACCACTGCATCCGGTGGTAAACAAAGGAAATCTTCAATGTTGTAACTGCACTGGAATTCCGTAAGGTCAGAAGAAAGTTGTGTTGGTACTTCCCCATACATTGTGTCGCTGGTGCCCCTTGTATCCGCAGTTTCACTTGTGACAGTCTCACATACTTCCTTTCTTTTCTTTGGAGTAGTGCACAAATACAGGTGGAGTCGCGTTATTTTAGCAGTTTGAAACATTTTTTCAATGGTCATTACTTCATCCTCTAGTTCTTTAGCACAAAAGTCTAATAGGGTAGTGTTCATATCGGACAACTTTAGTCCTTTTGAAGATGTACCGTTAGGGAAAAATAGATTGCATCCTTCGTCAATGATGTCTTGTTTATTGTAATATTTAGGTACGCGAACATCTCTACTACCGCCTCCGTTAATTGCTCGTACTTGCTTCGGTTCCTTGAATGTTTCATTGTAGTGAAACCATCCAAGTTTTATGAGTCTCGTATTTTTACCATTTCGGGGTTTTGTACTGCTTGGTTGCATTGAATCATCGTCTTCGCTGTAAGAGTTACTATGTTTGCGTTTGTTTGACACTTTTTTGCGAAGACGATCAAACAAACTGATTTTGCGATTGTTTGTATGAACTTGTCGTTTACAAAAATCTACAACAGCAAGTCTATCTCCATAAGATGCAAATAATTTTGAAAGTTCCGTTTCATCCATTAAAGCAATAATATCCGTGTCAATCTAAGAAAGTAATATTAGTGTGTAAGCAATCATACATAACCACAGAACATAATACCTTATGTAGTCGAAGGTAATTTAGAGTATCTTCTGCTACATTTCGTCCAATTAGAAACTCTTCCAGTGCTGTAGAAAGGTGATAGCTGGTTTCTTTATCCATCTAAAAATGACGGATTTAAATAACGGAATGCCTGAACAAAATATACCTAGAAGGCAGTCTTAAACATTTTGTATAGACTGGTTACAATTTAGGTAAGTACAATGTATTTATACAACTTTAATCTAAGGTTGGTGGAGTAAATTCCAAATATTCAAAACATGATGATGAATGAATACCATTGAATAAAAACACTATTCTTATTCAATGGTAATACTGATGACTAAATACAGTTTTCAAATACGCAAAGATTTTCTCTAAGTTTTAAATCATTATCATCAAAATTTAGTTCAAATTGCTCCATAAATAAGAAAGTTGCGTTTTGCGCATGCGCACAAAATTTGTTGTGCAAGCAATTTATTTGCTCTTATTAAAAGGACCTACCATCAAAATTTCGTTCAAATTGCTCCATAAATAAGCAAGTTGCGTTCTGCGCATGCGCACAAAAATTTTTTCGTATGTAATTTATTTGCTTGACTCAACTATTAGCATTGCGTCTTATATGATTAAAGGTATTTGTGGAACTGGATGCTCGCTTGCTTACTCACCTCAGAGAATAAGTGTAACACTTCACCTGTTGAATGTTTAAGTTAAGACTAGTAATGTACAAAATGGAGAATTATAAGTTGCAATTGCGAGATAGTAAGTCGCAATTGCAAGATAATAAGTCGCAATTGCGAGATAGTAAGTCGCAATTGCAAGTTATTAAGACGCAATTGCGATATAGTAAATCGCAATTGCAAGTAAAAATGGAGAGTATGTGGCCCTTCTACGCTTTCGTAGAAAATTATGTTGATGGCAATAGCTGTTTCCCTTTACAAGTACAAAGATCATAGTCATTACTTATACTAATTTTTCCTCCATTAAAGTGTTTTAGTACGTTTTCATGTACCAAACATGACTTGAAACTGCAATTTTTCTTGTTAGTATCTCCGCAGAGTCCATTACAAGTGGGGCGTGACAGTAATAACACCAGAAAAGTATTTAGCAATTCTGGAGATGAGGTTGGAGTTTTTTTATTCTTTCATTTATATTTCTGGCGTGGACTGTATGACCATAAATTTTATATGGTTGATGTAAAGTGATATCATACGTACTGCTGCAGTAAGCAGTAAATTTGCAATGTACTTTACGTCTACGTTTATATCAAATTTTAAGTATATTGGCAGCATGAAGGTTTGACATCATATTATGCACTACAAAATCAAAAAAGAAATGTTAATCTTTTGCTAGCATTTCTGTAAAAACATAAAAAATTTAATAAAGGATTCGCTGCTCAGATTTTCTCATTGTGCTCTGAGCGGCGGTCTTTACTGTAAGTTGGATAATGGATGAGTAGTTCAATGTGTGCATTGCAAGTACTACGTATAGATAAACTGATTTTATTTTAGACGATGGTAGCCGCCCTCATTTTTATAAGGATGTGGTATTTATATCTTTTTTTATACAAAAATCGCATTTGGGACCGTCTTTAGACGTGCTTAAAATGTTCTACCGTCGCTGTTACTTATCTCCTTATTATTTAGAGGAAAAATAATTCGGAATCGGGTTTTCGAGATACAAGTTAACATTTCTGTAAATTCTTTAAACACCCTCCATAATTTATAACAGCGAGCTATAAATCATCAAACAGCCCATTTAAATTAATGCATCCTTATGAGAAAATTGAAAAGGAAGGGAAAACAACTCATTAAAAATGACTAAGACTACAACTAATAGAATTACAATCCACATTTTGCTCTTAATTTATGCATAAGTTTAGAAATTCGTTACATTCCCAATATTTAATAAAATCATGCTGAGAGTTAAAATGTGTTTTTAAAAATATTCAATCAAATGTTTTTTTCAATTTACTTTAAATCGCAAAATTATCATATATAATACCATAAGTCGTCGAAGTATTGTCGAATATTATTGAGGTACTGTCACGAATGCTAGTTACGCTGATTAATACCACGAGCGCTTGCTTTAACTTTAACTTCGCTCACATAGGCGCCTCATCCCCCAATTATGGTTACAGAGAACAGATTGCAGGTAGTGCACATTTTTAGAAAGGATATAAAGGGGGGAATGTAATCGAAATACTGTAAATTAAGTTGTCTATAACCTTTTTAGCGCATTTCCACAAAAATAAAAAAAAATGCGCTATTGAGGCCACTTTGTCCGTCCGCTAACTTTGCGACGCTACTAGTTCTTTATCTTAAGAGCTATTGTTCTACTTTTTTCGCTATTTGGTTCGTCATGGTGTCGAGTCTTGTACCAAGGAAGGAATTTTTTCTGTGCCGCTTACAAAAAAAGTTATTGGAAAAAAAACAAAAAACCGTTTTTTACATGTTCCATAATTTTACACTTATGCCGTTTATTAACGATCCTAGAGATCGTTTATAATTTTGCATTGCTATCTGTCGCCTGCCGGTTGGTCTCTCCGTCTGTTCCTTTGTCTGTCTGTCCATCTATCTGTCCGTGTGAACGATAACTTTGTTTAGAAATGTTCGATCGCTTTTACATCTCCGTTAGTTATGAACTGAATTGCATGAAATTCAATATGGGCATAGATTTAGCCATATAATACGCAATGCCAAAAGTTGAATTGAATCGATTCAAAATTCACAGTGCCCTTTTCGCATCTCGACCATTTATAAACCGAATTGCAAACCTGTTTACTTATAAAAGTATTTGAATGAAATTTGATACATAGGCACTTGGAATAAAGGAAAATCAAACGCCAATTTCAAAATTTGGTTTTGCGCATGCGCAGTGCCAACTTTTTTATTTATGGAAGAATTTAAACGAAATTTGATACATAGGCACTTGGGATAAAGGAAAATCAAACGCCAATTTCAAAATTTGGTTTTGCGCATGCGCAGTGCCAACTTTTTTATTTATGGAAGAATTTAAACGAAATTTGATACATAGGCACTTGGGATAAAGGAAAATCAAACGCCAATTTCAAAATTTGGTTTTGCGCATGCGCAGTGCCAACTTTTTTATTTATGGAAGAATTTAAACGAAATTTGATACATAGGCACTTGGGATAAAGGAAAATCAAACGCCAATTTCAAAATTTGGTTTTGCGCATGCGCAGTGCCAACTTTTTTATTTATGGAAGAATTTAAACGAAATTTGATACATAGGCACTTGCGATAAAGGAAAATCAAACGCCAGTTTCAAAATTTGGCTTTGCGCATGCGCAGTGCCAACTTTTTTATTTATGGAAGAATTTAAATGAAATGTGAATACATAGGCACAATAAAGGAAAATCTAGCGCCAGTTTCAAAATTTTATTTTGCGCATGCGCAGTGCCAACTTTTTTATCTATGGAACTATTTAAGTGAAATTTGATACTTAGGCGCTTGGAACAAAGGAAAATCTAACATTAGTTTTAAAATTTAGGTTTGCGCATGCGCAGTTCCAATTTTCTTATTTAGAAAAGCATTGAAATGAAATTCTTCTCATAAACTGAAATTGAAGTAGCACGTCAACAATGGATTGCCCATGTGCAACGCTATCTTTCATATTTGTGGCGGGATTTTTACGATTTTAACAGAAGTTGCATCTTACAAATGGGAAATGAATGCAAGTGGAAATGCGCTTTATGTAAATCGTTTACGATTACTTTTTAACTTGTTGGGCTTGTCGGAGTCCCCTGCTGAATCCGTCACTGGTCGATCTCAGGACTCCGGTGAAACCGCAAGTGGCACAAAAATTAGATGACACGGGCTCATTAAACAAGCCTGATTTACCAAATTGTAGAAATAATTATCTACTATTTACTGATTAAAATGATGTCCTGAACCGTTGAAATTTCAAACTATTTCCTCTTCCCTTGCGCTTTCAACCGCGTGCTTTTCTTCTTGTCCATTTACTTCGTTCCTCATTTTTCCATGAGCATGTGAGGCATGTTTTAATGCAGTATAACAACACTTGCCTGAAACACTTTCGTAACGACTCCCAAAAGCACTAAAGTAATTTATATCTATTATCCACTTTATGCGCTGCCATTTTGCATATAAATTCGCTACCATACTAACTTGTTTACGAACGACATTTTTTCCGGTAATTGAAGCGTGCTTCATCAATAACTGTCACCTCTCGACACAAAATGTTATTCACAGAAGTGTTTCGCTATTGTGAAAACTCCATTAGCATAGGATGCTTCTCTCTTTGAACGCTAAAAGAAAATGTGCATAGCATTTTTAAGTGGCGTCTTATATATAAAACGAAAGGCTTACGAAAGAATGCTCAGTTTAACGAAAAATTCTTTTAGAGCCGAATTGATCAATCTCATAAATACCTAACGCAAAAAATTGTGACTGATTGTTTTTATCATGATAGATCGGGAATGTTACCGCATTTTTTTCAGTTTTGTTCGTTTGTATAGTTTGCCGATTAGCTTACTTTCGATGTACTGTATTGATGAATGATTTCTGTTTTGAAATATTATGGTACATAACATTTTGGCAGTTACTAATAAATGTGCTTTGTTTCAGAATTATTTGTCGCTGATCTATCATTTTTGGTAAGTCCTCATCCGTATATACAGAAAAGTCTGTCGCTAGGGAGGCATACGCAAAATCGATTGACACTTAGTAAATTTGGTTTCATATTATTAAAATAATTCTGAATACATATCAACAGATTTTTTTCCGTTGTAGATAATGTACTACGTTACGTTCCATAACATACCATTTAAAACTTATGGGGCTATTTACTTTTCACTTTAGTGAGGAACATATAATGCAGTGATATGTCAAGTTTGTATGTTTTCGTGTTCTGTATTTTAGGTAGATACTCCAGCAAATGTAAAAAAATTTGTATCGTTATTATTCTGCCTCGAACTCTGCGAACAAATAAAGATCGACGATATTGAGACAGTTGAATTTTTTATCGTGTTTCCTTTGCAATCAATACCATTTTTATATCCTATGATTTTGTATTCCACCCAATAAACTGTCTAAGTGGGGGCGGTTTGTTGAAATATAGCTTAGGTATACTTTTCGACACCTATATGTAAATAATTTGGTTTTTATGAAAGGTTATAAGATCACACGTGCGCAGCTATGCAACGCTTTTAAAGCATCTCTATCATTTAAATTTGATTTGTAGCGTGAAGGCTACGTTGCTTTGTGGTTAGCTGGTCCAATTTGTAGAAATACTTCAGCCTAAGTTTCTCTGGTTATAAATCGTGGCAATTTGTCACAGAATTCCATCTTATGTTAGTGATTATCTTTCAACAAGCACGAGTAGACATTTGACGTGATTAAATTTGCGTTTGATGTTCTAAAGAGCTTTCTTATTTCAGGGGGTTGAAAGTCTTAATTCGTCCCTTACCACCTTAAAATTCCACCTTGGCAAACTTTTTCGCTTTGATAAACTAAATGGATAATGTAAATCCAGGCTAGCAATAAATATAGAATTGTATTAATTTGCAAACCTCCTTAACAGAAACTTCTCCTTTCTTTTTACTTTTATTTTTTACTGAAACTTTGATTTATTGATGTTACAAATGTTTTGATAGTAATTGTGTTTAATTTGATTGTACAATGTTAAATATTTTGAGTTCAAATTTTATGTTTCTGCGCAATAGAATTTTTGATTACGTGGAGAATTAGCTGAGCCGACATAAGTTAAAATGTATTACCCCTGAATATTCAGGAGACTTGCAGGAGACTGTGTGAGGAGAGATTTCCTAGCGAGTCCGTGTGTTGCAAGGGTTGGCCTTCCTCATCATATTTTTTCTACCTTTTCCTTTTGGGTTGGGGTTTAGGTTTCTCGCCGGGCTCGTCTGCGACTTTTCGTTCCATTTCCCTTGCTTGTCTCGGATTCTGGTAGTCGTTTGTTGGGTGATGATGGAAGTACTGCGGTCTCCCTACGTGAAATAATGTCACTATCGACAGAGTTATGTGATGGGTTTTTAAATTGACTGGTTATATGTCCCTGTTAATTACATTGGAGTTTAACAACATTCACAAAGATTGGCTACTGGTGGAATTAAAAAAATTAAAAAATGCCCCTGAACTGATTTTAACGAAATTCGGGGTGCACATAGAGTGGTATGGGAAATCAAAAACCTCCTATTTTGGTTTTGATCCCTAACCATCTTCATGGTTGTTGAGCGTGTCAAAACTTTAAAAGAGACATAACAGATTGAAACATTTTTTTAAAATTTTTTACTGGCCGAAATGGCTTAAAAAAATCTAAAGAAGGTTCATTACAATTTTTTTGTGAGTTCCTTTGTTTTTGAGAAGTTTTGAATTGAAAAGTTAAACTATTTATTTTATTTATCTAAACTTGCATTTTTCTCTAAAAGTAAGCATAAGAGTGAAAAATGTTAATTACAAAAAAGATGTGCCTTGATGAGATCTACAAGAAAGGCTTGTACACTTTGCGTCGGGTTCAAAATAAAGGGGCTAGATGGCATTTTCTAAATGTTATACTATGACCAAAGATAATTGCAATGACTCTATTAAAAGTAGTCGGAAAACCAAGTCAGGAGTTTACCTGGCCACTAGTTTAATAAAGGTAAGTAGCAGATACTACAAAATTGTGCAAGTGTTTATCGTTTAATATTGTGAAATAAATTACGAATCCCAATTTGCGTAACTTCAACACGCGGGCCGACCAAATGGAACCACCGCATACTCAATAAAGCAATATTAACAAGGGCTATTGATTTAGTTTTTTTAATATGTTGCACTGTTTGGCACGTATTCGCTATATTTTTGTAAGAATCGCTCTATTAAACTCCGAACAAATATCAACTAGAACTCCTGTGTCTGTATATCGACCCAATCATGTCGCAATTTGAGGACCAATGAGTGATTTTATTTATGAAAATCTCACTGTACTAATTTGCCACACGTGACCGAACATAAATTAGATTAGCAATGGCGAAAAAACAAATTAATTCCGGGTAAACATCAATTTGCAAAAATGAGTTGTGCGCTAGTTTACACTTTAATTACATCCCTTCAGCTCGACTATATTTTATCCCTTGCTTATCATGCTTTCAACAGTACGTTAATCTCAATTGCCAGTCAGTGAATTTTTTATACGGTTTCTATTGATTTGCGCGCGTTCGTCTTGATTAATGACTATCGTATAATCGTGTTGTAAATTTCAGTGGAGCACTATGATCCTGTAGATTATGCATTCACTTTTGTTTCTTATCTTATTTTAGTGGCAATGTGGCTTTAGCGACCACTTTCTGCACATCGAGAAGTGTGATTAATGATACATTTTTGGGTTGATTACATACATTCACACTTCTTTCAAATGGTATTTGTCGATCATAAACCGATTTTGGGCACATATTCTTTTGCTAAATATACGTTTATCACATTTTTGGTTTAAATATAAGGGGTCCCAACCAAAATTTATAGATGTAGATCCGCTGGAAAGAACTATAAAATGGACGATTAGTAGAATCTAGTAACGAAATTTGGATGATTGGATACTTAAATTGATGAAAAGTGAACCCTGCGTCACTAGGTTGTGAACCAATTTCCAACAATTTCAAATTACCATCTCATTCTCGCTCATGCGATAGAGAATAAACAATTTCTTTGAAATTGGTTGACAAACCAGTGTCGTTCGGTCACATTTTAAATTCGTTTATTTCAAGGTCTAGTATGAAAATTATGCATAACAGTCACAATTTTAGAAAATCTAAAATAAAACAGAGCGCATAACAAATAGGTATAGGGAATGTAATAATCGAATTTCGACATCTGAAAGTCCAAAAAAATAAACAAAGTTTCATTTGAAAAAGTCAACTTTTTAAAGTTCGAAGTTATTAAACTTGGCCATTCATTTTAAAACACCCTGCAGAAGGGCGTTCAAAATTTAAATCATTCGCATGTAGCATCACGTCAGTATTGTAGATTTTGGAAGGCTTTTTGAAATTCAAGGCAACGGAGCCATAGGTAACAACAAGGCGCTAAAGAAGAGCAGTCAAACGTCAACAATTTTGAAAAAACTGGAATAACTTGAAAACCTTTGATGCTGGGTATAGGAAAATGTGGTATCAAACGACGTGGATTCTTATGTAGATTTCTAAAACGCCATAAATATAGGGTATTCTATTTGAAATAAGAAAGTTGCTAGCCACCTCCGGTAAAACCGGAACTGAAACGATATTCTTAACATTTAAAAATTGTCAGGCACAGGAAAACCATGAAGGGTACATAACAATGAGGAACAGGGTCGACAACCGTGTACGAGAAATAAGGGAAGAATACTGGCGCAGATTTCGTTCAGAGATGGAACACGACATGTAAGGGCCACAAAAACGAATATGGAAAGTATTAAGTGGCCTAAAAACAACAAACGAAAGTATACAAATAAAAAGCCGCGTTTGAAAAATATATATCGATATGATCAGCCAATTCTAAATTTTTATACAATCCCTGACATCATACCGATAACGGATTTTGGTAGTTAAAATTATATTCAAAGGTTGTATGCAAAGCACGTGCAAGACATATTTTATACCGAATCGCTATTCATATATATAGCGCTGGGGAAGTTTAATAGTGTAGGTTTACAAATTTTAAACTAATTATTAATGTAGTGAAGTAGGTACATTTGACATAGTTTGCACATAGAATCGCCGAGAAACGCCCCTAATGGCGAAAGCGTATTTCCCAAATCGACCAAATCTCTAGCTACGATTTATATTCATTTGAGGAAGGGATTTATTCCTCTCAACAATTCATCAATAAATTTAGCGTAGGCACCATGAATGTCCGTTTTCGTAATGCTGGCATTACTCAATTTCAATATGTAAGCCACAAATTTCACCGTTCAAGTGCCAACGTCTATATACCAAACGGAGGATTTTATAACATCGTATTTGCTTGAAATGCTGTATTTTAAAATTAGGGTCATAATCGTAATGTATATTTTTAACGATCAGAAGGGCTTTGTGTACGTGTAATGTTCTTGGAGTTTCATAATACAGGCACAATGTTGTCATAAAAACATAAAATTTTAACAACTCTTGGATATCCCTTTTTATAAGACTTGTAGACTTTATTAAGCGGCAGAGTAAAGCGATGCAAGATTTATAGGAGAGTCGATGGTGTCCGTCTGTCCGTGAACACGATAACTGTCAAACGCTTGGACCGATTTGGTTCAAACTGTGCTCAGTTGATCTATATGCCACAATACCTATTGAAAATGGGTCAAATCCAATGACCCCTTAGGGTTACGCCTCTCTGTCCCTGCCAAACGCTTGAACCTATTCGGTTGAAACTTTGCACAGTAGACTTATATGCTTCATGTAACAAGCTTTACTTTAATCGTAAGAGTCATTGGGTAGATAAAGTGAAATAAATGATTGTGCATTGTAATCACATCTGTCATTCTTATTTCAAATGCCCGATATAAAATGAAGTTCAGAATATATGCAATTCTGTTTCTATGGAAACGATCTCGACGGCAGAACCTAAACTTGCTATTTTTTGACATCTTTAAATTAAATTCAGAATTGTCAGAAGCTTTACAACGATTTATATG